AAATAATATTATATTATATATATATAAAATGCTACCCCATGTATTAAATAGGATATGCATTTATAATTTTATATATACATATATAGTATATAATAATATATAATATATTTTTATTTATTACTTATTATATAATTATATAATACAAATAACAAATCAAAATTAATCAATTTCTCAACAATAGTGGAAGATAATTTAGGTGAATAGTATCCTCAAATATTAATTAGACCCTAAAATTTGTCATTAATTTTAATTATAAAAAAATAAATTATGTAAATAAATTTATGTAATAATATGAGTTCAATTATTTTATCATTATTAGTTTTCATTACATACATAATATAATGTAATGCGTTAAAATGAAGAAAGATGAATAAATACCTAAAATTTATGAAGAGTAAAAGCATAGGACTGTAATGCATAGTATAATAACAATTTGTGTGATTAAAATTTTTTCTAATCTTTTTATTTTCTTCTTCATGTACAATTGAGAAATTTCATTTTATCTTATAATGCATTGATTAGATACTTAATACTTTTATTTTAAAAGAGAAATATAAATTTTATTAAAAAAATAAAAGATTGAATTAAATACTAAATAGTATTTCTCCATGTCCTTTCATCTTCTTACCTAGCTATATATAAACCTTCAATTTTCTCTACATCAATATATTGTATTCTCATATTTATTTATTCAATTTATTTTTATTAATATGGGGAGTTCCAAATATTATTTTTCTTTTTTTTTTCCTATTTCATATTGTATCTAAATATTATATTATATTTTTATTTTACATGTCTTTTTCCATCTTAGTCCAAAATATGTATATTATCGTATAAACTATTTTCCTTATTAATCTTATTATTTTTTATGAATTTTTTTTAGAGGATATGATAATTGTTTTTTTGAAAGAATTTTATAACTTTATGTATTTGAAATTTATGCATTCTTTTCTTTTTAGATTATTAATGGTTTGAATTTTTTTTTTTTAATGTGTGGTAAGGACAAAACTTTATTCATGGAATTAGAGTTTCTCGGAGTAATAATAATATTGATTCAAACATTGAATTGAATAACAACTGTATGAATTTGATAAATATCAAGTTATATGAAAATATTGTATTTTTGATAAGATGTTATTTTTTTTATTCATATTATGCTATTATTAATTTTTTAATCCTTTTAAATATAAATTCTACTTCATATTCCTTTTAAATTATATATATATCCAATAATACTGTTATATATATTTGGGAATACGCATTCAATTGCACTAAAATCTCATTTAAATAACTTTTTTTTGTAACTTTAATTTGGGCACTTATATTAATATATTAAAATAGTTTGTAATAAAAGTTAAAGAAATAAAATAGGAATGGAAAAAATGATAGGAAATTGGAAATAAGAGAAGGGACAAAAAAAACCATAAAACAAAATTTTGCAAGTTAAGCAATTATAAAAGAAAGAGTTGGTAAAAACTAATGTAAAAAAAAAAAAAATAAATAAGAGAGAGAGAGAGAGAGAGAATTGTTAAATACTTTACCTTATTTTATAATACTTCACGTAAATCTTACATATTAAGAATATATATGGTTTGATTTTTTTATTAAAATAATAGTTGATAATTTTTAATTTCAATTTTAAAGAATTATAAATTCGATTAAATAAGGATTAAAAATAATTAACGAAGATGAAAAAAAAAAATAAAAGTATAAGGTAAATATTATTTGATTATTAGACTAACAACTAATAAAATTTATATATAAAAAAAAATATCAAAAGGTAAAATTTTCTTAGATTAACCGTCTATATCTATATTTATATTTATATCTATATATCTATATCTATATATTATATAAAATGCTA